AAATGCAGTAACATATATTCTAAGCCCACTCTTACACCCTGTTAGACTGCCAAAACATTTTAAACTACATAATCTTTTGGAAGAGGCATAAGAATATCCCCTTAGCTTAACTCTGATACATCCTTTGTGTTTGCTTAATCCTTTCTTTCAGCAGAAATTGACCAATGGAAGTCTTTTCCGTTATCAGGAAAGGAAGTTTCTGAAATAGTACATATGAGAATGTTTTTAGGATTATCGCACAATCAAATATCTGTTTTTATCCCCTTCATTTTTCTCCAGGATGACTGAAGTCATATTACTTTTAATTTAATGACTGATATGTTTTCCTTATGAGATTTTTTTAAAATGTAATACTCAAACCTGAGCATAATTGACAAGACTGTTCCAACTGAAGACCCCAGGTTTGAGTACACATTCTTAACGAACAAAGACTAGTTTTTCTAATCCTGTTGCTTTTCTTGCTTGTAGATATGAACATTGAAAGACAGCTGCAGATTTTTCAGTTGAAGTGTTCACTTTAGGAGCATACTTACAGATCTGCAGAAAGTGATAAACTGACGATCAGCTCATTGTTCAATACTCTTATATTTCTTTTAAAAGAGTAATACCAGTTGTTGCACTTTTAAAAATAGATAGACTTCAGTAACTCCTCTAGAGGTGCATCTTCTGATGCCAATTACAACAGACCATATAATCTAGTCTCATTAACTGTTAAACCTTTTCACCTAAGGATTTTATTTGCTTAAAAGCACAACTTGGAAATTACTTATTCTTTGGTTATCTAAAAAAATTTCTATCTACTTTATTGATGGCTTTGCTAATCAGCTTTGGAACAGAAAATAGACTATGATGAGTCTTAATAAGCCCCAGCTGAAATTATTTATCAAATTAACTAAAGAATTTTATTCTTTTATAATTTAATTTTTCTCTGTATATCCAGTTTTCAAAGTTACTAGAATTTAACTTTATAAATTAAATAGTGGAAACATTGCTTCAGTGATGCACAGATTGTATACATATAGCTCAGAAAGATGGAAACAACTTGTTTCTTGATTCCATTTTTCCCTTTCATTTTCACATGAGAGCAGGGTAAAGCAACACCTCTACACTGATCCAAGCAATAGGGAGACATCAGAGCCATCATAACTGCTGTCTTGAGTTTCCTTATTGGGAAAGGTAGAATATGATACATTTTTGATCCTTGGGTAATGCACTGAGCTAGCATACCACTTCTGACGGAATGAAATTCAAACCTGCTTTCATGTCATGTCTCCATACACAGCTTGTGCTTACTGTGGGACTCCTCGCTGTAGTAGTGTATCTTTACACTGTTGTGGCATTCAACTTCTTCCGCAAATTCTACAACAAAAGTGAAGACGAAGATGAACCAGACATGAAATGTGATGACATGATGACGGTAAATAAAACATCATTAGCATGCTTCAAATTTCATCCTGAATTTTTAAATGGATACTTTAGATAAAATTATAAGCAAGGAGGGATGTTTTTGTTGTTAAATTGGTGGGTCTCCTCTTTTTGCTATATGTCATTTTGAAAATGTGAATTCTCTTGAAATTCCCTCTGCATTCTCCAGTGGTCTAAACTCAGCAGTAGATAGATGACATTCACCAGTATAGGAAGATATTCTGGATTTTTCTCCTAAATACTGTTGTATAAGATTTGCAACTGTTTTACATGTGAAGATGGCAAACCCTTAAAGTATATGGAAGAAACTTCATGACAAACTAGTCAGCCCTGCAAAAAGAAATTGTGTTGTTGCAGCACAAATAAACCCAATTTGTTCCCAATGTTTACAAGTATGCAAGCTCTCCCTATCCTTACTTAGGTTATATGAAGTATATGATGTTTAGCACTAGTTATAAAAGCCTGCTCAAAACTGCTTACAATTGGTAATTTAGTCATGAACTAAGAACTCAAGGGTCAGTAGAGGAGGGGGAAATTAAAACTTATTATGAGTGATAATCTAACGCCACTAATTTCCCTTCTAATTTCCACCAAATAACAGAATATTATTTGTCATATTAAAAGATACTCTACAGATAAGTATTATAGTATGAAGAGGATTTGATTTTCTTACTGTATAAAGAAAACGGTACAAATTCAGGTATTAAAAATTTAATATTCTGAGTTTGTGGACAGCTCATTTCTTCCCTGGAATAGTCACTCTCTGCCCTGTGTTATATGCCAAAGAGACAGTAAAATACATCAGAACAGAGGTGTGTCATAGACTTGACAAAATTATGTTCCCTATTCTTGAACTTTCTTTCAAACCCTCAGTGCAAGTCAGACATGCAAATGATAGAAATTATGAAAAGTGCCCAAGTAGTATTATTTGCCTCGTCCCTGTGCAAATGATAGAAATTATTAAAACTGCCCAAGTAGTATTATTTGCCTCGTCCCTCTGTGAGCTGGATACAATGTCTGGTCACAAAATCGATGTAGGAGTAATTGGAATAATGAAACTATATTATATTTTAAACCACTCTACCAAGTGAGGTAAATCAATTCCATGTTACATTTTTAAGTATGATTAAACAGTACTAGCATCTTATGTCAACAGCAAAGTTGCATTATAAAAATGAATGTGTAGTTCTGTTTAGTGTTTGCTTACGAAAGACCACATTTGTCAGGTTTTATGCTGATTATTTAACACCAGCTTTGCTGTCTAATATGACTTCTGAACACTGGCTAGCTTTATGGATTTCCATTGTTTTTAACCCACATTGTGTGACCGAAGGTGGTTTACAAAATTCTGTAGCTGATTCATACAGGAACATCAGTCACTCCAGCAGAAAAATCCATTCTAATATACTTACATAGCTTAAATATCCAGATTTTTAAAAGATTTTTCCATGAAGACTTGTACGTTCAAAAAATATGACACACAGCAACATTTTTGTAGAGTGATTTCTTCCACATCCATATGTTTCCCAGATCATAAATAATTTATGATATAGTAAACCAGAGATCTAGTATTGCAAAATGAGGTTATCCAGAAACCACCTAAACACAGATAGATCTACCTGTTGTGAATATGTCACTATTTATTTTATGGCAATATTTGCCAACATTTCTAAACTCCATTACAAGACTTTAAAAGATGTCCTCTGCTTACTCAGAGCAAGCTAGAACCTTGGGAAACAATATATGGGGTAGAATATAGTTGAATGCAGTAACAAATACAAGAAAAATGCCCCCTAAATGGTCTTAGTCTGTAAGTAAGACCTAGGGAGTGAGGAGAGGGTAACAGCTGATGCTGACTCCCCTTCTAAGTAAGTGTACTGAAGATGTATTCATATTAGTTAAGACAATAACAGATTTTTGGTGCAGTGTGTGTGATACATGAAGAATTATATTATGTGTTCTTTGTTACTATAATTTGAGAAGAGAACTAGCAGAGCAGAATAATTTTTAAAAAATCATTAATGGTAAATATATCTGTAATTTTCCTCTCTTTTTTAGTGTTACCTGTTCCACATGTATGTGGGTGTAAGAGCTGGTGGTGGCATTGGAGATGAAATTGAGGATCCAGCTGGAGACCCTTATGAAATGTATCGAATTGTCTTTGACATCACATTTTTCTTCTTTGTCATTGTCATCCTACTGGCCATTATTCAAGGTACTGTCACTTAGCAGAGACTGTTAGAGTTGAGTTTACCTGAGTTCTGCAATGTATATAAACCATATTTGTTTGAGGTAAACTTAGCAGTATTGCTATAGACACTTATTTCTGAGCTGATAAAATCATTAATTCTGAAAGTAATAATTTTATATGTAATTCATTAATAATGCATTGTCCCAGGTACTACACAAAGCACAAGAAACATACCTTACCTGGGTTACAGTGTTTATGAACACTTTGACAGCTATCCAGCAATGACACACCTTGATGTGATGCCCAAAATGATCTGACTCTATTATTAATATGTTGGAAGTGGAGGAATGTGAAGAAGCATCACAAACTGGCTGGGGTGCCTGTGGGAGCAGAGTTGTCTTTGTTGAACAGGAGCTGGGATACAGGATTTCCATGAGAAGGGTAATGAAAACGAAATTCTTTCATGGGAGCAAAAGAGACGAGATTATGGAAGCTTAGATTGACCTAAATCTAAGTACACAAAAGCCTTCCCACTCTCAAGATTGTACTTCTATGTACAAGGAATTCTTATTGCTAGGAGTGCAGTGTAAACAAATGTTAGATGTCTGGAAATTGACAGACTGTAACTTGAATTGTTCAACCTAGACATAAGTACTCTGAACTCCAAAGACAGTGGAGGATGTCTGGCAGATATTACTTGAAATATGACTATTGCTGAAGTACTGAAGTGTTGCTACTTTTCCATTTGAAATAGGTCTGATTATTGATGCTTTTGGTGAATTAAGAGACCAGCAAGAACAAGTGAGGGAAGATATGGAGGTATGAATAAGCACACAACATTTTTCTTTACTTTTATTCATCTAGATTTTTACAAGTTAAAACAGTGCCTTTGAGTTAAAATTCATTTGTAACCACAACTTGTGTTTCCAGACCAAATGTTTCATTTGTGGAATCGGCAATGACTATTTTGACACAACTCCACACGGCTTTGAAACACATACTTTGCAAGAACACAACTTGGCAAACTATCTGTAAGTATATTTTACTACTGGAATTATGAGAGAGACCTTTCAGCTCCAGAGCAATTTAAGGGCACACATTGCTGAAGACCCTAAGACATAATTCTGTAGAACTGAGGAATTTTTTCTGGTCTCCCCTCCTCTACTCCACACTGATGCTTATCTTTGAAGTGCTCACTTTAAACATGAGCTACCTTACTGGAACGAGACCTGAAGGCACACCAACTCCTTCTACCTCTGGAAGGACACCCAGATACGTGGAAGGATAGGGAACAACAGTTTAGTAAGTTGCTTTACTTTGGAAATTCTGATTGTGCCTTCTGGGAGCTTGGTAATGTTGATGAGACTATTGAAAATCAGACTAAGTTTGACAAAAAGAAAACCCAAACCAAAACATCAAAACAAAACAAATAAGCATTTCTGGAAGATTCCTGAAAGATAAACTACACAAAATAATGTACAACTCTGATCCTATACTTCTTTAGTGATAGTGCGGCCTTCCAAAACCTGAAAGCAATCAGGAGTTCTATGTGTTTAGACTATTGCCCAGACTCCCAAAACAGCAATCTCCTACTTTCATTAGTAAATACAGAACAGACCAAAGAGGATATTTAAAAGTTAATTTGGTGGCATTAGTTACTCACGCAACAACGATAATTATATGAGCATTGTGCCAGCAGAACCAAAGGAGCTGAACTGGTGATATCTTATAGAAGTCTGGCTTTGGAATACTGCATCTGAACTTTCTAAATTAAAAAAAAAAAAAAAAAAAAAGAAAAGAAAGAAAGAAAAAGTGTGCCATGTGCCTCCTAGAGTGGAGGCTGCATTATTCCTTCTATAGCAACTGACACTGCAAAATCAATGCACATTCCTTTTGTGAGGCAAATTTCCATTTACATCCATAGTTGTACCAGTCTACAACCTCCAGGCTACATTGAATTGCTTAATTGGTATATGGGAACCTGTAATTCACAGTAAATTAAAAATGGCCATTTCCTAATATTAGAATATATAGTAAACAATCTTTAGAAAAGGCTGCCCTTTAATTAGACAAATGTTAAAGTCGGTATACATTCCTTTCTTTACAATGCAAGCACATACCAAGCCATTTCCTAATATTAGAATATATAGTGAACAGTCTTTAGAAAAGGTTGCCCTTTAATTAGGCAAATGTTCAAGTCGGTATACGTTCCTTTCTTTACAATGCAAGCACATACCAAGTTTAATTCTAAATGCACTGCATCAAAAGAGGCTAACCAAGAGCTGTGTTACATGTAAACAGACCATTGTTAGTACTCTACAGCCTTCCTAATTAGGTCGAGCTCTCTGCAGTTGAGTGTGCACAGGCATCTGATCTAGAGGGGCTCACCTTATGAGCTGCATGGCAGGAGTGGTTGGAAATCTTGGTGCAGCTGAGTATTTGCCACACTTCTATCTTCTTGTGTGGTAGCCATAGTAACTTCTTCCAAGGTGAGCTGTTGGAGCATATGTGTATAGGAGTTGGCATATGCCTAAGTCAGGTATTGCTCCTAGCACTAAAATGAAGAAAATTCTAAACCACGTTTTACCACTTCTACAGGTTTTACATCTGTTAGCACTTCTGCAGAAGTGCTGGAGGATAGAATTTTCACCTATAACATAAGCACTGTAGACACCTAGAAATATAATTACTTTGCTGGTTGGCATAATCTCCCCCACATATACGCCCTCTAGGAAAGGTTAGGCAGAGATGTTACGCTTTCTGCATTAATACCTGCTTCATGTGCTTGTTTCAGGTTCTTTTTAATGTATCTCATTAACAAGGATGAAACTGAGCATACTGGCCAGGTGAGTAGAAAATAAAAATTGTTTTTCTTAATATGATTTTTTAAAGTTTTTACCTTCTTCAGCCTTGTAGCTGTGTACCACCAGGTGGAACTGATGTACCACCAAGGAGTGGGGATGATGCCACCCTCCCCGAGAGTCTTCTGCAAGTGAAAGAAAAGAGTTAAAAAAAATGGAGGAGGTGGGCTGCAGCAGTGTGCTATTCTACCCAGCACTGAACTCTGCCAGAAGTCAGTTACTAAGAATCTTACTGTCTCTTATCTCTGAAATGAAACCTTGAAATATACCAGTTGTAGTTTATTCCAAAAAGATTAAGTAGTTAAACTACTATCTTTTTAGTCCAAATCCATATATATTTGTATATAGATAGGTATATGGATGTGTGTGTGTATATTTAGTGTTCTTAGGCCCTAAATGTAAATAAAAAAGAAAATAAATAGGATTTAATTATATCTTATCACAAATAAGAAGCTGTAACGCGAACACTACAAAAGTACCTTACACTTCAATGTTTCCAAGCAAAGTAAAACACGCTTTACATATACAAATTGTGCACAGGTTTGCTCTGATATAACTAGACTGATTAATTTACCCTTACGCAGTTTTTCTAGTAGGGCTTGAATTTCAGTAGTACTGAATCAAGGAAAGGGCTGAACAATACTTACTTTTACAAATGAATCCCGAGTTACAATCTTTGAGTTTCAATGTCTTCACCGTTGTACTCCATGGTAACAGGCACAGTAGCCAGTTATTGTTAAAACTTTATCTAGAGCACTAACTGCAAGTTGTCTGTTAAAATAAATATTCTTTATCATTTTCAGGAGTCATTTGTGTGGAAGATGTACCAAGAAAGATGTTGGGATTTTTTCCCAGCAGGGGACTGCTTCCGGAAACAGTATGAGGATCAACTTGGCTAAGAACACAAAAGAAATAATCTATTCATGAACTCTAAAGATCCAGTATACAAAAAAAAAACCTTATTTTCTTTTCATGGTGTAATTTCACAGCTTGTATTTGCTTTAAATGTCTTTAAACTTCAAGACACACATAAAATTTGACACTATTTCTTGGGCTTTTTGTACCAGGTCTTTTGTTGGAATTGTTGGAATTTTAATTAGAAAAGAGAAAAAAACTATGCCAGATTAACTTAAGCTTTCCAGTTCAAACATGGTCTGAAATGATAACTTTTTAACCACATCATTAACCTAGTGTTTGGCAGTACAGTTGAAAGGGCTAAAAGGTGTATTAATTGCACAACATTTGACATTTAAGAACTTGAACATCAGAGGCCATGCCTCAGAAAAAAAATGTTTTAACTAACTGCTGTCCAGTTTTCCCCCCCAGTATTTAATAGTGAATGTACTAAGATACAGCTTGAAAAGCTTTAAGCAGTTAAAAAGAAAACATTTTCAAACACTTCGTTGACCTTGAAACATGAAGTGCCTTAAAACTTCTGCAGACATAGCTATGCAAACTTTTTATTTATGTTAGTGTTCTAAATGAACAGATCCATTAACTGTATTGCTTTTCTGTCCTTCTCTATGAAATTGCACTTGAAGTTTGTTTATATACTACCTTCAATAACAGCTTATTAGATGCTGCTGTTAAAAAACATACACTGTATCAAAGTGAATACAATTTAAATTTTAGGCCAAAATAAAACAACGCTCTATGGTCACCTGCAAGTAGAAGCTGCTAGGATTATGCATTTTTTTTCTTCTAATACAAAGTGGCCACTGCAATAAACTATTATGAACCAAATACTACCTTTGCTGTCTTCTTTCTCATTTTTTTGACAATGTGGAGATGTGGCATGAGGATGGTGACTAAAAACACAGGTATTCATTGTTCATTCATTGCTTTATTTTAAGGACTACGTAGCACAAGTACAAGTTGAAATAACTGTCTGTTCTCTTAGTGTGCTGTAACCTGCATCTTTAGCAAAGGAAATGCTCATTTCATCACAAATTTTTGACCTTTATAGGAATATTAGTCTTAGACAATTTTCAATCACATCTAAATGAACTTTGGTTGTAGCAAATTTTAGGTGCCAGCAAAGAAAAGCAGGCATTTGGCATACTGAACAAAAATAAACAGATAAAGGAAATAATGAGGCAATAAAGGAAGATTCACCTTCCTACGTAACATTTGCTATATTCTATTATTCACATAAGAAAATTTGAGCTTCAGGAAATCATTCTGTCCAGCCAGTCTTCAAGCTCTTCCTCAGTAACATTTTTAGATGTACTTTGCTGTTGCTGTGATGCTGTAATCTTCTCTTCAGGCATATCTACTTTTAAAGGGTCTAGAAAAGTGAAAAGAACATACTTGAAAAATCTGGAAACAATTCCATACCCGCTGTTTGTCACGGATCATTTTGCTGCTTTTTTAATGCACAACTGACTCTATTTAAACAAAATCTTTCGTGAAGAATGACAAGTCATATTCCAAAAACAATGGTAACAATTAAAAAAAAAAAAAGACACAGCTTAATAAACTCAACCAGAGCAATGTGGCTTCCATCTGATTCGAGGGGAGCAGCAGACATTATTCATGAACCCACTACTGCAGTCTGCTTGCAATGCTGTCCAAGGCAGAGTTTACTTTAATGCAGGAGAGGAGCAAGAGGCCACAGCAGCAGCTTGCCCTGCATGATTACTACAGCATGATATGATTCCATATTCTGATAGCATTGTTTTCTTACGGGAGTCACACTGTGCTTTAGAGGGGAAAGCGTGACATACCACTGAAATGAAAGAGCATTTCAAGATTGTCTTCAGTAAAGAGGCTTCCTGTATTGCTTCTGGAGCCATCTTACATATTCAACTATATGGGACTTAATTTTTAAAATAACAACAAGAAAATCATACACAAAAAATCAGAAATGCTAAAAATTCTTTTACAGCATTGTGGACTGGGGAGGAGTAGCAAACCATCTTCATCAAAACTAACAAACAGAAGTATAACTTCTACAAAAGCAAATAAAAGGAAGGGTTTGCTGATTTTTCTGAAATAATATTACCTTTTTTATACGTTTTGTTTCCAGACTAAACTTAATTTTGTAAAATCAGTGCTACTAAAATTTGAAAATAGCATTTATAACAAGCCATCAGAAATAGCTGCCACGTCTTCTGTATACTGTTATTAGCACAGGGAACCTAAGGGCTGACAACATTACATAAAAACTTTATCTTTCTCTAGCAGTACTTTTTTTTTTTTAAATTAAAAATTTTTCTGAATTCTTCTGGAGAAGAATTTATCTTAATGCTTAAAAATGAACTGATAATGGTGAAACTAGTTCAATGGTGAGTTAAAATTGAAAAGGAACAAATAGATCAGAATATAGCCCCAGATAAATGAAATGAAGTAGGACAGAGATGATGGCAGCAGTACTGTTGACTGGCTATTCAAGAGTTCAAAAACATCACCAAAACAGAGAGCAATGGAAATAATTAAATAAGGGCATGTTGGGGAGAAGAGAAATCTTACCATTTTCCTTATGTTCCATTTTCAAATCTTTTTCAGTTGATACGCTGTAGGATAATGCAGCTGACACAGGTCTGTTTTCTGTATTGATAGGAGCATCTAGCTTTAGGAGAAGATCTAGTTCTTCATCCAAATGGTCAGTCTCTTCATTTGAGAGTGGATGGACCCTTTGAAGTGGTGATGCTGCACTTGCCCTAGGACCATTTTTACTTCCGGGCTCTGATGGAGCAATAGAATCACCAACAGGATGGGAGACCAACACTGTTTCACTCTGAGCCAGAGACTGTCGGAACAGAAGCTCTCTCCTCTTGCTGTCTTCAATAATTTTAGATTTCATCTGTGGGAGCTCTAAAGGTGTTGATGCCTAAGAGTATAAGAAAGGACTTGAGTTTTTCTAATGGTTAACTCCCTTTTTACTGTTCTAATTTGGATTGTAATTCATGTAAAATGCATTTCAGCAGAAATTAATTCAGAAATAAACTAAAGTTATCTTGATTGATTATACTTTTACAGAAGCAACTACAAAATACAAACTTCTTTTATCCCTTATTACAGAATATGAGATTGTATGCTAAACCATCAAGTTCCATTGTTTCATAAATCCTTCCTAGAGAGTTACTTCTTTAATTAATTAATCTGTAATGAAATCCCATCAATATTCAGAATTTTCAAATTCTGAAGTTAGAAGTTGGCTAGAAACATTATCCTACGTTGGGGCCTCCCTCCAAAATTGCAGTCTTGAAGCAAACCATACATACCACAGGGTACTGAAAATCATTTAGCAAAAGTTGTAGCATATAGCTGCATATTTTGAAAAATGAAACCAAATTAGAAAACATTATCAAATAGTGAAACAAGAAACAGCAACTCATTATTAAACTGTGGAACACATTCTGCTTTTATCAGGATGTCCTTAGCATTAATAACACTGCAGCGTATCTGATGACCGCATCACCGGTCAGAATGACAAGACAAAGATTAAATGTCATAACGCACACTTTATAACCCTGGTAAAAGTTAACACCATGACCAGAACTCTTCAGAAGAAAATTGGATTTGAAAGTAATATTTGTTTGCAGAGTCCCTTAGACATCACATCTGCAAACATATTTGAGCTTCTTTAAGAAAGAACATAGTTGTTTCAGTCACAGAAGCACTTTGTGCAACTCCAAATGGAACTAAAAATTTCTTCTGAAGGGTAATATTTCTTTTTCCTTGCTTGAGCAGATGGATTTTTTTTTAAGAATTTTGGTTTTATATTGTTGAAGTTTGACCCTGGCTAGTAGCAAAATACCACAACAACCATTCACTGGTTCTTTTGCCCTTGCACAAATATTTTCTTTTTCACAGCTTGAAGAACGAATCTTTCCTAGTATTCTGTTGCTTTTTTTTTTTTTTCCAACCAGTGCATAAATAACATTTTCTTCACCTGTTTGACTGACAGTTCTACCTGTTCTAACACAGATGTAAGTTTGACTCATGGAATAAACGTGTATGTTGATATTAGCTATGTAGAAGAGTAAATCACAAAATAATTTAACAGGAAAGAATGTGAAACCACTTTCAAAATTTTGGTGCAAGCTTTGAACAGCTGCTAACAAGAGAAGCAAATACAAAAAAGCACAATCATTCCATGTCAAACAATCCAGTACCTGGTATTGCATCTAACGTGCCATACCTTGAAGTATTTTGTTTAAAGCCAACAAATCATAAAAATTGCTGATAGAGGGGGGTGTCCTGCATTACATGCCATTTGACATGCCAGCCTCAAGAAATGTATTTGCTTATAAAATATATTCTACTTATGTTTGAAGACCACGTTTAAAGTAATAATTCTTGCAAACATTGTTTCCCTTAAAATATCTGCATACTCTTGTGAAAATTCACAGCATTACCTGCACAAGTTCAGCAGCTACATTCAACCTCAGATGTAGAGGCAATTCCTGAAGGGCCTGGGCCAAAGACTGACCGTCAACGGAAAGTGCGGATACCTGAAATATAATTCAACACATGCATACTTGTATTAAAAAAAAAAAAATGAACTAATAATGACTTTAATCCTTTACATTCCCCTGTTCCACACATTCAAGGAATGTGAAGAACAATCTAATGAAATACACAGGAATTCATATTTTTAAGTTACACATGTACAAAGCAGTTTGGCTAAATTACCATATAAACACCTACAATGCAAACAATCACTTCAGCGTTTAAAAACAAGGTATAAATTGAATGCTCCTTAGGCAATGCCTCGACTATTCAAAGTAGGAAATAGTTCTGCAATTTGACAGTGTCATAAGAGGCTTTTCCAACTCCAACATCTTTTAAACTGCCAAGCTTTCTGTGCACTAGGAAATCCCATTCTTTAGTGAGTTGCTACTATTGTCTAGGCTATCAAACCATGTAGCTTGTGTGTAGCTCTGCTGGTTTTAATGCCTAAACAACATGGCCCTTTTGATACTTCCCCATCTTTTAAAATGGTGTTTCGATGGTTACAAAGGCAACAAACTATAGTTACATACACTTCTAAAACGATACTCAAGAAAGATACTCTACTGCTGCCTAGTTGCTTAAAAGGTGGAATTGTCACTTATTAATGTGACAGGTAATGAAGTTCCTTTTTCTCTTGACCCCCCTTTTTTTGTCTGTAAATTATTAAAAAGAAATTTACACAAAATGGACCAGCAATGCTTGATGTTTTTACAGAACATCCTGGACTTTGGTGGACTTAAACAGATTTTGAGCCTACAGTACAGCAGAACATTCTGAGCACATTCACCATCAATGAAAAAGATAATTTGTTATGCATCACATATTTTAAAATCTGAGAACAAAATGCTTAAGTTCAGTGTATACTCTAATTTTCATGGAAGCAGAGAAGCTTATTCTAAATCTATCTTTAAAAGACAAAAGTTTGTCCCTCTCAATATGGTATAGACTGGCAGAGACATTCAGAAGTCCAAATACTCATAAATTAGGAGAGTGTGTTTTGTGCCATACTGTAAGAGATTTGTCAAAGGAATTCACACTGCTCCCAAAAGCCAGTCATCAGCATGGCTTTTACTCCTGCACACACAGCAAGAATCAACATCACAGTGTGTAAAATAAATTTAAAAAAGAAACAATGCAGGTGGTCTAACAGTTTCTTATATCCCAGTTATGGTTCTGGTATCCAGTCATGAGAGTTAAAAGGACCAAACAAATATCTGGTGATTACAATTTTTCTTCTTTACCAACAACTGTATTTTACAAAGGGTTAGTGATCACCATCAAAGATGATTCAATGGTACAAATAACCCCAAAAAGTCTTTGAGGAGCAATTCTTATTGTCCAGCAATGAACTCAAGCTTCAAGCTTCAGAAAACCCAGTTCTTTTGACAGATATTGAAGATCAAATATGGCTTCTGCACATTTGCAAAGGACAAATACATACAAGGGAATGGTATGAATCTGGTAACATAAAAAACTGGGAAAAAGTCAACTATCATTGAACAGCATTTGAGTGCCTTTGGGAAGAGCTGAGTACACTTGCAAAAAGATTGCTGTGAATGAACATTGTGAATGAAGGTGAAAATGGAGATGAAGATGAGAAAAGGCTGAGGCTGAAGGAAGAGAGAAATTTGGAGAAACAGGAAGAAGGAATTCAAGATCCTAGCAGAGATTTCACTAAAAGTGGTGTCTGAATAAAAAACAAACAAAGGGATCAAAGCAGTATTTAATAAATTATAAACACTTCATGGCACATGTAGTTATTTGTTCAAGAAACTAAGCAGAGGCATACTTTGTTGCTGGAATTGCCTTTTTTTACTGAAAAATCCAAATGATTATTCACCTCCTTGATTTTTTAAATTGCAGACAGTGTTCTGAAACATTTTTATTGCATTTTATCAATATACAGTAAAGCAAATCCAGATCTACTTTCTGTAACAATGAGTAAACTGAAAATTTGTTATTGTTGATGTCACTGTTACATTTCCATTCCACATCTGAAACTGATGCCTTCCCATTGTGTTCTACAAATAATAAGGAATGGGAAATATCAAGTCATTCTGCAACTATTTTTATGCCTTTTTTGCTCTATTTTGTTCCATTGTAATCACTTCATGTCACAACTCTCTAATCTTGCACATCATATATAGACAGGCAAAGAACTAGAAGAGCTAGTGAGCTAAGAGGCAAAGGCAAGGAATTTGGCAAAGTGGATCTAGGATGAAAATCAGACCTGGATCCAGTTTTCAGGGAAAAGAAGGATGGGCCAGAAACAAAAAGGAGATAACAGGCTGAAGACCAGAGAGAATGTGAAAAATCAGATAATGCCATTAAACCATCTGGCCCAGGATACTGGACTAAAATAAGAAATCAAAGGAAGGGTAATGGCAACTATTTCAAACTGACATAAGAACAGTGAAAGACAGGAAACAGTTTGAAACAACAAATTTAGATGGGACAGGACAAATGACTGGTTTGGCAGGGACAGAGGCAAAAGAACGTGCCCTCCACAGCGCGCTTCACAACGAGCAAGAGGTTGGACCGGCTCCAGAACTGTGCAGTCTCGTCACTGGCAGCTAGAATAATATTTGTAAAATCCACTGGCAACATGCAACTTCACTCTGCTCACAACGGCTTTAGCCATTCAGAAATTAATTAATGTGTTTCAATCACCAAAATGTTATAATGACAAGCCTACAAGGAAATTACAAAGAACTTAATATTCTGGAAACTGACATCCTGCGCACTAGGAGCAGGAGGAACTGATAAGAAAAAAAATACACACTGAAAGACCGTATCCCACTGAACAAACATATGACTGTTTAAACAAATGCTGCACTTGGTTTTATTTCATCATTTTAATTTGACTTGGCAACTTTAATGTACCATTAAATATCACTTCCCAGGGAATAATTATTGTCTCTATTTTAGGAAATAAATAGAAAAATTTTAAAATTTGAATACATATATATGTTTCAAGAAGCACTCAAGCAGTTTCACAGAAATTTTAAGAAAAGCTTGGAAGACAAAAGCATTTATCTTGCAATAATTTAGGTGAATTACATAAGGAAGACAGCTGCAGAGATTAAAACACTTTCCAGTATCCTGATATAGACAACAGCAGACTCCTATTGTTTTACCCCTTTTTTATTCCAGCATAAAGAATACACATATAAATAATTTAAAATCTACTTGGTCTCATAGTCATTTTGGAGGTGCAGTTGCAACCAGAGGATATGAACTGTTAATTTGAAAGAACTTGAATATACTCATACACATTTTGTTACAGTCATTTTACTAAACTATTTTCTCTGGAATACAGCTGAAAAAGGAAGGCTGACCGGCTGTGACAAAGCAAAGCAAAGTGACAGTTCCTTATTTTCCCTTCACTGGATGGATTTGTTTGTTCTTTTCTTCCAACACTACTTAAAATCCTAGCCTGCTGCTTTGATTAGTCTTCAACAGAAAAATAAAAGAAATGACAAGACCCAAGAGCCTCCAGCATGAGAGATAAATATACAGAATGAAGGGTGCTATTATTGTATTAAACAATTTGTTGCTGAAAGCACAACTGCCTAGGTGTTCTGTGCCAGGTGATTATCCATACAAACTCATTTGAATTATGATTCTCTTACCTGTTTATGGCATATGCTTTCTCTATCCCATTCTTTCTCATCAGCAAATCGGAACTGTGTAAAAGAATCTCCTAAAGAAAAGAAACAAAAAATACAGTTATTTAAAAAAAAAAAAAAAAAGTAACAGGCTCTCTCCAAAGTTCCCAACCCTACAAAAGTGTAAATTCAATCAATAAATGTCACGTCTTCAACAAATTTGCATTTAATTTTAATGCTACTTGCACTCACAGTATTAAAGTTCTTTAAGCCAAAGTTCCATAGAAAGACCTTTTAGTCTCTTTTTTGCAAAACAGTAAGGAAAAAGGTGCAACAAAATCAAAAATCAATGAGGAGGTAGGTGATAGGTGCCATGTCACGAAGCGAGATTTTCATTGAAAAGTCCAATTTGGTCAACGTACAAGGAATACGTACAGTGTTCACAGAGTGCATTTTTTATGAACAGTTTTGAATGTGCTGTAGATAGACCTTATCTTATCAACATGCAACTCTCTCTTAAAATTGATTATAAATGTCCTAAAAAGGAGTTTGTATGGGCCAAGTAAAGACTTCTTCTTGTCTGGTAACTTAATTCTCCAGACTCTCTCTTCCTTGAACTAGTCCCTACTCCAGCATATCAAAAAAAAAGGCACTGAACCCTGAACTCCAATCCATATGCATAAGGGACTGAATTAAAAGAAACCTTATATAAAGCTAATTAAGCTACTTATGTAACTTAAGTTATAGGATCTTCTAGCCTCCTGCCACATTCCTCCAAGACAGTAGGAACTTCCTCTTACTATAGAGGGGACAGGGTTATTATTTTGTTTTAGATGCGATATTTCTATTGCAGTACCATGCTCAGTTGTGAAAGACAGCCCTATAAATTTATTCACTGAAAAAACACACAAGAATTCTAGGAATTCAAAAAAATTAGTCAGGTCTGTGACAGAGGAAACATGAAAGATTAGGGTTGCAAGATGATGGCCAAAGGTCTAGAGTAACAGAAAGCAAAGATGTTGCTGATGCAGAGTATGGGACACACGCCTTCTTGGACCACACAGTTTGAGAACAAATAGCTGTTTCAGGAGCTCTATTGGGAAGAAAAGAAAAACACCACCTGTCAAACTACTGCGTGAAGGAGATGAAATTTGATCTTGAGAATTGCAGATCACCTGTAAGTCATGAGGATTTAGTCCAGCAGTGAGTTGAGAAGCAACAGCTCACTCTCTCAACATAGAGAATGAATGTGCTAGAGGAATTTTTCAATGGCATTACCCACAACTGAGCATCTAACTTCCATTTGGCACTCAATATCCTAACAGCTATTCATACCTTTGACAAATTCCTGAGTCATGCCCTTAATCTTGCACACAAAATCCAACCATACAATGTGCTGTCCCTAAAATGGGCTGCTTTTCCCCTGTCTGCCTGTCCCAAAACGTAGGGGAGTTCAGCCTTTCAGCAATTTTACTCAATAGTGCAACCACCAGCCGGCTTCTGTTTTGCAAACAGAATGAATAAGCAGCAAAACGGCATAGTAACTGGCATATTTCTTTGCCAAAGAATAAAAAAGGGAGACCTAACCATCTCCCAGATGGAGTGTAAAATGTATTGGCCGTGGCTTTTTTAAAATATCTAAAGTGCATTTCTAATTCATTGCCTTTCACGTATGCTCACTGGGCATGCAATGTACTCATATACTCATCACACTATGTACCTGGCATGTCCATGATCGCCATCTTCAGAAACATTCCAGCAAGAAAGAGACCTCAGCTGAGTACTTATATAGATATTTATGACCATTACCATGTCCAGCTTGAATTTGCATTAGGTTTGTCCAACACTGGCGAGCATTACTGGGCTGACATACAACCTTGCCCGATCATCTAGGCTTTGGTTTACATTCAATGCCTCCAGATATTGCTGTTGAAAACAACCAGCATCAAACAGTGCAAATAATTAAAATTAAGCACTGAAATTAACATTTAGATACCTAAGAAGAAGCCTAATTTGATAAACGTTTAGTTCATATAATTCACAAACACCAGGTTCCACGACAGCTAAGTATGCTCAGCAGTATGGAAAAACAAGATTCTGTCTTAATGTATCTATCTGCACCAGATGCAAATGCTTAGCTTGAGCACTCTCAGTTGACTCACTGCTGACAAAGGCACCTTCCTCTCCGCTGCACATAGCGCAACAGTAAATAAATCCCCATTTCAAAATATCTAGAATGCTGCTAATAACTAAAGCTGAAAATTAAAGAAATCCAAATTCCTTCTTCAGTCTCGTGATTTTTAAATGGGTACAAAAATATGTTTTAATTTGCGTTTTAACAGTCATATTTTAAATGCTCAATTTAGTTACATATGTAAAGAAGTTTTATTGAAAAATAATTAAGTGATCCTCAAAGTCTTCGTTCTATTAGAACAAAGGCATAAGTATTTTCTTCCAATATCCCCAAGGCTCCCTCAGTTATTTCTCATGCTGTGTCACAGAGGAAATAATTTCCTCAGCTCTTACAAAGGAGTAAAATTAAACTAAGGGATTAGTCAAATGCTTTCAGTATCTGAGAATGACCAGCTGTAAAGCAGCTAAACAAACCTGCTTCATGAGGAAAATCCACTGGGATCAAGAACTTGTTTATGATTCTCCACACTCACAAAGTTGGTAATAACAGATCCTCAGTTTGATATTGTATTGCTGAAATAAAGGGCATGTCTTAAACTGTAGTTTAACTGGGCTCTTTAAATAAGTTAACAAAGCATGCCTTTCAAATGGAAAAGCAATAACTACAATTCACAGTAGCACATTTAATGCAAATTAGGTTAATGAGAATGTTGGTCTAACCAATTATCTTTTCACAAATTCCTTTACCCTGAAAATAACTTCCTTTTATGCCATGAATACTAATCAAATATCTTGCAATGACTCCAAGTTCCTTCCAACATAAAAAATTACTTTTTCTTCATGTGAATAGTTCTTATGTTACTTACGAATATCACTTGGCTTTCAAATACAAAGTAGCTAAAAATAATGCATTCAAGTAAACCTCACCCACCGTCTTTGGTAACATTCACAATAAACCTTAATACTCTTTATTGTATAAAATGTAACTTTATTGTGAAAGAACAGCAAATCTAAACTATGATGCTTTCCTACCACCTGAATATATTTTAAAGCTAAATCAATTGATTTCAATAGAACACGTTTCATAGTCTCACTAGCCCAATTATCTCTTCATACAAATATTCATTAAATAGCAGAATCAAACAAATCCTACCTGTAATCTCTAATAAATATTTTCCAATCTGTGAAATTATATGAGTATAAAAGTTGAAAAACTGGAAGAAAAACAGTTTTCAGTAGGAAAACTGACATATCAGTGGAATGATTTTGTTCATTTTAACTCTCTAATTCATTAAAAACAAAAGATGTAAAACATAACTGAAGATAGCGGAAAAAAATTCTATAGTCTCAGAGATTTTCAAATTGGAGGAGGGAGAACAAACAAACAACGTAACATCATCCTTCTAAGACTGCCGTGACTGTAAAGAAGCACTGCAAGGGCAAATATAAGACTCTAAACCAATTTTTTATGATAACTTACCTTCTCCTAAACAAGCTGCAATAATTTTGAGAAACTTACAGGGGGGTTTCCAAACTTTATTCATCTCCCATTTATTTTATTTTGGGAATTCAAGCCTCTGTCTACAAGTCTGTTTAGTCACCTAAATAATATGCAATAATTTCATGATGGCACTATGCAACTGAACCAAATAAACCACAACAGAAAACTACAACTTGGCTACATCTGGGAAATCAACAATGAGATCCAAAATATCTCAAAAAGCACAATCTATCCACTACATTAAGTCAAAGTTCTTCCCGAGTTATTAAATTGAGAAGATTCTTAGAACAGGTTTTAAGCAATTTTGCAAGTTTACCGTGCAAGAGATCCCTTTTTCTCTACATTGATCCCCAGTTCATCACTATTTATGAAGGATATAACATCAAAACAAGCTACCTGCCTGTTCCACCAGTCTTCTTCATGGGTTGCAATAATGCAGGAGGAAACAGATGTTATTTTTAAGGTGAAAAAAAGAACCAGATCCTCCAATGCAACACTTTTCTGAAGGGAAGAACAATCTGAATAGCAGAGTTTAGGCATGAATGATGCTTGAAATCTTATCCAACATCAGTGGTTCATAGAAGACTGACCAACTCTCCTGAGGAGTCGCGGGGAAGACAAGCAATGTATTCTTTGCCTTTTAATAGTGCATGACTCCATGTAGAAGGTCAAAGACAGAAATCTATAAATCAAAGCAAAGTTGGGAACTACTAAGTAATGAATTTTGAGCTAACTTACAAGCACAAAGAGAAAACTAAAGCTTACCTGTCTTTTGGGATGAATTAGGTGTGAGTCTTTCTCAAACTGGAGGAAAAAGCATGAGAAAGAGCTCCCATTCATCCAGGCCATGGCTTGCTCTAACCGGAAGATTTTGAAAACAGCATGGAAACAGCAAGAATCACAGTCTGGGTGCTTTGGAACATCACCAGAATGAAAAGATGTCTTTTCTCCTTACACAGTGTTTCCATATAGTGCAATTTATATATATATATACACACACATTATAGATATATAGAAATATTATCTACATATAATATGTATAGTAATTGTCTATCTGCAATTAATGCTCATTTTATATAAAAATTTATTTGGATAAATACTGATGAAGATTTCCTTTTATAGGACACCTCATGGTTTCCCTTTTTTTCTCTCTCCTATGAAAGGAGACTTACATATATGCAAATTCATACAAATATTCCTCCAACACTAGGAAATGTACGTTCTGCAAAGGTTTTACATGAATAATTTTATACACATCATAAACAGATAACCATCCAGATACGATAATTTTCCCACAATGAGGTAGCATATAATACTGAGAAACAGTTTTCTTTCTGGAAGACACAAAGCTTACAAAGACTCTTCATGGCAGTTCTAATAACATCACTGATTTCTATTTCTGCTTTTTAAATTTCTCTACTTTGGTAGAGTACACACTGTAACTTATTATCTTCTACTATGACTAAGGCTGTAATGTGCTATTTATGCAATTTGCCACAAGCATAGATTGAGTAATAGCAATTTTCAGAATGTGAGAATATATAAACAGATAAGACCCTGTAAGAATTCAACATCTATTAATTTTCTTCAGATACTATTAAGATCAGTAATATTGCAAGTCACTGCAAAATCTGTCTTTTATCAGGAACACGACAGGTACTGCCAAACATGCCTTCGCCACAAATACTTTAGCACAACCTACATATTTCCCTGGTTCTGCTGCTCACCAGTTGCACAGCCATGTATTACACACTACAGAAGGCTTATGCAATGGCTCAGCATAAAAATTCTAACTACCAGCAGAATACATATCTCAAATAAAATACTTTAGATAACATTCTTCTACCTTTAACAGTAGAATTTCTTGAGCTCTGTGCCAACATACTGTTGTCAAGGATATTTGTAGCCCGCACTGCAAACTATAAAGCATACTTGTAACCAGATTCAAAACCAACAATATTCTAAACTAATTCCCTGGCACAACTAAACAGTGTTACTAGTCACAATTTTAAAAATAATTATGTGGATTTGACCAAACAGCAGGATCATCTGAGCAAGGCTAAACAATGTCCTCAGAATTCCAAGGATCTTTGGAAATGAGTGCTGCTTCTGGAACTAAGTGTGTCTATTCATGAAGAACATAACTTCTTTAAAATGTAGAGAAACTGCAGCCTATTGAAATCAAAGTCAGATGTCAGTTTTTTGAATGAGGAGCAGGGTGAAGCCAACAAGTGCCAAAGAACACCATGGTTTAAAAAAAAATAAATACAAAACCTATCTCTTTTTATTAAAAGCAAAAGCAGAGCTTAACAACAGTGAAAACAGGGCAACAGAACAAATAAAATAATATTTGAAGAGGTTCAGAAAAACAAACAGTAGTACACATGCTTCTGCATGAACACCAGGTGACTAAGAAATAAGACAGAAGAAACTAGAATGCCTTGAAAGCTTCAAAAAGCTAAATGACAACAAGGGAATACTGGGAGCAGTGAAAGGAAGACTGTGGAGGACAGTGCAACACCAGCTGGATGTGTTTGATGGACAAATTAGTAGAAACTATATGAAATTTAACAGATGCAGATAAACATAATATTTGGGGGAAGAGTGAAGAAAAGGAAAGTTCTGCTGCAAGATCTAAGGCAAGCAGAATCTAAGGCTTCTGAAAGAAGCAAAAAATCATGCACGTAAGCAGGATCTAGTTCACATAATTTACATGCGTTTCCAAAAGTTCTCACTGACGTCCCACCACTCCCTTTCCTACCCAAGACTTCAGAGCAGCAAAAAAGAAGAGGAAGCTTTGTATGAATAAACAATTGCATAAAAGTAGGATGAAAAGGAGTAAATTTTCCCTTTTCACATTAAAAAAACCCATCAGTACAGTTCTCTGGGGTCATATCTGTATAACCTCTTCACTCAAGAAAAACAGAAGAGCAACAAAGATGAGGAAAATGAAGTAGCAAAGTTTGCTGGTGATACTAAGCTCCTCATGGTAGTGCAGACGAAGGTAGGCTATGGAGAATGACGTATGAACTTCACAAGATTGAGAAAGTAGATTTTTAAATGGCAGATGAAACTCAATACCAAAAATGCAAAATGCTG